ATATATGGGGCTTGGTGCATTGTAATGTGGTAATACAAGCACAAAGAGCATTAAAACTGCACTATAAATGTACTCCATACTGTTACAGGAGGGTTCTGTTTACCATAGTGGAAGTTGTGGACCGGTGACTAGAAAAGCAGAGTAAGTGCAGCAGCCTGTTCTTCCCTACGGGTCCGGGTGTCCGTATTTGGACGCAGACAAGATGGATCCTATCTGCGTCCGTCCAAGGACACCCGAACCTGCACGGATGTGCAGTTCAGGTGTGTGCATGACATCATACGGCCGCATCCTCCCATGGGGAAGAACAGGCTGCTGCACGAAGCACCTGTCCCTCCCAGGAACGGCCCAATACAGGAGTGCACGACCTGACTTAACGCTGTGTGAATGAGGCCTAAGAGTCAAAAGACGAATTTATTTCTCTATTTAGTTGGTCCATACAGTTAAAAAAGTGAATATAAAGGTCTGTGTCGACAGACTTTTCACCATCAGCCTGACATCAGTTTGAGATGCTTCTGAGATTAGTCAGAACTAATTGACAGGTGTAGTTGACGTTCTTCTGACCTGCTTTAACCACTTGCTGACCAGGTGTTTACACCCCCTTCCTGGCCAGGCCATTTTTCAGTATTCAGCGTACATTCAGTCATGCAACGCTGTACTGAAATTAATTTTATAAAAAATTTTTGGGGACACATAGAACTTTCTTTTGGTGGTATTTAATCACCACTGGGGGTTTCTATTTTTTACTATATTAAGGAAAAATTACTGAAAATATTGGAAAAAACATGTTTTTTTTTTACATTATGTTATAATACAATTATTATTACCCAATTTTTTGTTAAAATATAAAAGATGGTGTCACGTTGGGTAAATAGACACCAAACCTGTCAAGCTTTAAAATTGCGCACACCCGTGAAATCGCAGAAAACTACCATACCCAAAATTGACCATAGGCGACACTTTAAAAGCTTTTACCGCTCATCAGTTTAGTGTTATCATTGATTAATGGCCCTAGAATTATTGCTCTCACTGCGACGTTCGCAACGATATGTAACATGTGTGGCGTAATGGGCGCAATCGTAGTTTTCGCATTCATGCTCACCCGACACATGTTTGGATGCGTGTATGGGTGGGGAGTTAAAAAAATGTAGTTTTTAAAAAAATGTTTTTTTCATGTGTGACTTTAAATGTTTTTTTTGCAATTTTAATTTTTTTCCCCTATTTTTTTTCCCACTTAACTTTATTGTTATCACATAGGGGGCTAAGAAACCCCCCTATGTGATAGCAAAGAGGATGTGACAGGTCCTCTTTATGGAGACTTAAGGGGTCTCCAAGACCCCCAATGTCACCTAGGAACCCCCAAAGAAGCTGATGAAACAGAGATCTGCTTCATCAGCTTCTCTCCAGCTTCTGAGCAGTCTGACACCGGAGAGGGGATGGAGGGAGATCCGCTGTGCCCACTAATCTGCTTCCTCAGGAATATCTAAGGCAGTCATATAGTATATGTGCCACACAAGAGCCACTTTAATCAGAAGGTGTCTGTTAAAACTTGGCGGGCAAACCTAGGGCCAACAAAAGAAGTCCATGGTGCGCTAGGCAGATAAAAGATATCTCACATGGACCTCAAATATAGGCTTCATAGTTTGGTATACAAAGGACCAGGGGAATCTGATTGTTGGTGGTATAGCGGTATGGTGTAGAGAGGGAGAGCTCACCTTCTCTCATACCCAAATGTGTGGTGGTTTCTATATGTAGATACTGTATAAGTCATACTTATCATTTCATCTGATACTTGTTTTCTTTGTTTGTATTGTTTGTTGTGCATAGAAATAAAAAGAGATTTTTAACTAACAAATACAATATGTTTTAGAGTGGGTACCTAAAAAGTCTGGATTATGTAACTTTGAATTGGCTGTAACTACTGGGATGTGGTACCCCAGAGTAACCCCTTAAACCAGGGGTGAGCAAACTCAGGTCCTCCAGCTGTTGTGGAAGTACAAATCCCATGAGGCAATGCAAGATTCTCACAGCCACAGGCATGATTCGTAGTTTCACCGGAGCTGGAGGGGTAGAGTATACAGGTGCTTTCAAAACCAAAAAGAAAAAGATTTGGCTATATATACACTTTACATTGAAAGAAATAATAGGAAATTCTATGTGCAAGATATATGTAAAGATAATACAATTCATTTTGGGGAGGCTTTGCAGCCTAATCCTCTCCCATGATGCTGCTTGTACAATGTACTGGTCTTGTGTAAAAGGTCATTATTATTCAGGGGTGCCTAGACTAGAGCAGCATGATGCCTCACTATGACCCTGGATACGCGATGCAACCACTATCTTAGCCACCATTCACAACCCTGCATTTTGTCATGTGTTTCCCGAAGTGTGACTTTGCTCAATATAATGAACCCTATTATTTTCAATGGTGCTCACTCACACCTGAGCATTGTCACTTGAAACTGTACATGAGCTATTATCAGGCTTGAATTTTTGGGCCCACGGACTTTGATGAGAGCATTAGAAAAAACGCACCCACCACTTGTTTTCATGCAATTTTCTAACAATCATTGGTCTCCTCCTAGTAAATAGCTGTAGGCTAAAACAAAAATGCTCAAGCCTTAAAAACTGAGATCAAATCTGCAAAAGAAAGCTTCGTAATCGCCTGATAATGCTCACGCTCAAGTATGAATGGGGTTAAGTGCCAATCACAACAGATTTGCAAGCATGAGCGAGTGTTGCTGTGATCAAGTACATAATGGTAGTTTTCCAATACAAAAAATGTTATGTGTCAAAAAAGACCCAAAAACATGCATGTCACAGAAAAGGCGACATCACGCTTGTCTAAGAGCCCTTTCACACAGCTGTGTGAAGTTGGCACCCCATGTTTGTAAAACCTGAATAAAAATATACCATTCGTTTGTGCCGCGTTTGTGCTGATTTGTGCCGCAAAAATAAACGTTGGTGGCGCTTCGGTTTCGGAGATATGGTGCGTTATAGTTGCTGTAACCCCACCCACCTTGCACCCCATGTTGCTGAATTATCAAAACAAAGACGCCATTCGTTTGTGCCGCGTTTGTGCTGATTTGTGCCGCAAAAATAAACGTTGGTGGCGCTTCGGTTTCGGAGATATGGTGCGTTATAGTTGCTGTAACCCCACCCACCTTGCACCCCATGTTGCTGAATTATCAAAACAAAGACGCCATTCGTTTGTGCCGCGTTTGTGCTGATTTGTGCCGCAAAAATAAACGTTGGTGGCGCTTCGGTTTCGGAGATATGGTGCGTTATAGTTGCTGTAACCCCACCCACCTTGCACCCCATGTTGCTGAATTATCAAAACAAAGACGCCATTCGTTTGTGCCGCGTTTGTGCTGATTTGTGCCGCAAAAATAAACGTTGGTGGCGCTTCGGTTTCGGAGATATGGTGCGTTATAGTTGCTGTAACCCCACCCACCTTGCACCCCATGTTGCTGAATTATCAAAACAAAGACGCCATTCGTTTGTGCCGCGTTTGTGCTGATTTGTGCCGCAAAAATAAACGTTGGTGGCGCTTCGGTTTCGGAGATATGGTGCGTTATAGTTGCTGTAACAGGCGTCTTTGTTTTTTAAATTCAGCAACATGGGGTGCAAGGTCGGCGGGGTTACAGCAACTATAACGCACCATAGCTCCGAAACCAAAGCGGCACAAACGTTTATTTTTGCGGCACAAACCAGCACAAACGCGGCACAAACGAATGGCGCCTTTGTTTTTAAAATTCAGCAACATGAGGTGCAAGGTGGGCGGGGTTACAGCAACTATAACGCACAATATCTCTGAAACCAAAGCGGCACAAACGTTTATTTTTGCGTCACAAACCAGCACAAACGCGGCACAAACGAATGGCGCCTATGTTTTTAAAATTCAGCAACAAGGGGTGCAAAGTGGGCGGGGCTTGCATTAAATTGAATGTTTAATATCTCTGAAACTGAACCGGCACAAACGCTCGTTTTTGCGGCACAAACGAATGGTATATTTTGATTCAGGTTTTACAAACATGGGGTGCCAACTTCACACAGCTCTTTCACACAGGATTTCTGATCGGGTCTGTCTGTCAGTTTTTCAGGCAGGCCTGATGGGAAGCCCAATGTTAGTCTATCATCAGCTGGATCTAAACGGACATGCGTCCGTTTACATATGGTTACCCCGGATTCCGGCCAGGTCTGGAAAAACGAAATGGATCAGAGTCCTGTTTTAATGGACCTCATTGTGCTGGATCGGGGGTAATCTGATGTACATCCAAATCCCCATAGACCAACATGGGTCCGATGACATCCATTCCATTCAACAGGGGATCCTCCCTGGATCCCCTCCTGATCAGACCATGTGAAAGAGGCCTACAGCTAAAGTCTAAAGTTGATTGTACAAAAATTGTATGTCCATACTGTAACGTGTGAGATATATTCCCTATATCATATGACATGTGGAGTTATATGACTGCCCATAGACTTGTGTGTTCCTGCTGCATAGAAAAGAACAGTAGTTTAATACTCTCATCACCGCATTCACTGTACACATGCTGCTCTTTTATCATTCATGTTGTCACCTATAGATGGTTTATACGACTGTAGTGTAATCGGCAGGTAAATGGAAGATAATGAACCGCCTGCCGACCATCTATGTGAACACATAAACATATTACAGTGTGTGTCCGGGGACTAGAACTACAGTGCTGGCGGCGGAGTGATCCACAATACACGTCTCCCGTTAGCGTCCTGTCACCATGGAGACCAGAATAGTGCTCGTCTTTCTGCTATCCTCTTCGTTCTCTAAAACTAAAGTCGGGGGCTCAGATCGTTCTGTGTGCCGTCTGAGTGCGTTCTGATTTGAGCAGCAATGAAATAACGAATGTTACATTGTTTTTTTTATATATATAAGCGAGCAGTGCGGACGAACACAAAAGTGTATGCTGAGTGTAAGGCGCAGTGTTATATCTACGGCAGTCCTGCGGCGCTGCTGCGAGCTCTCTGATCAGCCATGGCCATGTATGAGGTGGACAGATCCTTAATGGGGGGCATGCTGGAGATAAAAGGCTCGCTGTACCTGCGATCAAACCACATGCACTATGACAAGCGCACCATGGTGTCTGGCTGGTAAGAGGGAACATCCTGAAATGACAGACTTTGATGGCTGTAATATATCCAGGTCTTGGTATAGTCATATGATGGTGATTTAATTATGTTACAGTGGACTGGAGCTCAAAAAGTGAAGATTTTCTATGGTATGGGGAACATATAGGAAAAAGTTATTTGTACGTAAGCAGTACCCTTAAAATGTACCTGTGTTGTCTTGCATTCCTCCAGTTTACTTTCTGATACTGTATGTGACTGTTGTTCTGTATCCTGCTGAATAGCTGCATTAATGTAGTGTGTCATTATCTAAAGCAGTGTTCATCAAACTTTAAAAGTAGTCCCCCCTTCCCCTTCCCATTAGGAGACCCGTTAACATCAGACTCCACCTTTTCACATAAGATCCCCCCCTTCCCATTAGGAGCCCCTTTAATATCAGACTCTACCCTTTCACATTAGAGTTCCCCCCTTCCCATTAGGAGCCCCTTTAGCATCAGACTCTACCCTTTCACATCAAAGTCCCCCCCCCTTAGGAGCCCCTTAAACATCAGACTCCACTCTTTCACATCCGAGGCCCCTCCTTTCCATTAGAAGTCCCTTTAACATCAGACTCCACCCTTTCACATCAGACTTCCTCCCTTTGCAGTAGTAGCCCCTTTAACATCAGACTCTACCCTTTCACATCAGAGTTCCTCCCTTTGCATTAGGAGCCCCTTTAGCATCAGACCCTACCCTTTCACATCAGAGTCCCCTCTTCCCATTGGGAGCCCCATTAACATCAGACTTCACCTTTTCACATCAGAGTCACCCCTTCAAATTAGGAGCCCCTTTAACATCAAATTCCACCCTTTACATGAAAGCCCCCCCCCTTCCAATTAAGAGCCTCTTTAAAATCAGACTCTACGCTTTCACATCAGAGTCCACCCTTCCCATTGGGAGCCCCTTTAACATCAGACTTCACCCTTTCACATGAGAGTCACCCCCCTTCACATTAGGAGCCCCTTTAACATCAGACTCTACCCTTCCCCCCCTTCGGAACTTCTTTCACATCAGAGCCCCCCTTTCACTTTCAAAGTCCCCCCATTTCTTTTTGCCCTACTGAGATGGGATTCAGAGCTCGCACTCCAGACACTACAATTTAAGGGGAGGTGCAATCAAGTACGCTGTATGGGCTGGCTGCTTGTATTCTAGCAATTGATGATGTAATTGGTTGCTAGAACACTGGCGGTCGGCCCGCAGATCATGCTTCGTTGTTATGGTGCTCTAATAATGCTTTGAAAAGAAAATCCCATGGTGGCCTGGCCTTTTCTTTTTTTTAACGTTCCTGCAATTTTAATTGACTTTTGACAGCACCCCTGACAAAGCTAGACAGCATCCCAGGGTTCTGCGGCACCCCAGTTTGAGAAAGATTGATCTTAAGCACTGTTTATAGTAAGATTTGGTGATGTCAATACTGTGCTGCTCACTTTTCTCCTTGCATGAGAGGAAGCTGTACCTGAGAACCTGCAGTGCAAGCATTTCCCTACTACTACCATTCTGAGGATGTGAGGTTTCTGCTGGTGATTTCATGGTATCATCCAATCAGAGACCGCCTAGTATTCATTGAGAAAAATATTAGGTGTCTGATTGGCTGCTATATTTAGCAAGCAACTCTGTTTTACAGCACAGGGAAGCTGCACAGCACATCGGCTCTATCAGGACCTGGAAGATGCTATAATACACTGCACAAGATCCCATGGCCTTGCCAGGCATTATATACGGTATATTAGGGTCGCACCGATACTGTTTTTCGGTAGAGTACGAGTACTAATATTTTTTCCCAGTATTCGCCGATACCGAATACCGATACCGGCTACCCACGGTACCGTGAGCACAGGTTATCAGGAAGCCGGGTGGCTGATTGCCTAGGAAGCTGGCGTTCTAGCAAAAGAACACCGGCTTCACAGTCCCTCGCGACACTGCGAGGCAGCCTGGCTTCTTGACCAATCTGGAAGCTGGGTGGCGGGTCATGACCTCCTGTCTCACATCCCTGAGCCTTTCTAATTGGATGGGGGGACTGGCTCAATGATGCCCTCAAGAAGGCCAACAAAAAGCTGCTGCACAAGGCAGCCAGAGCTCTTCTTTACCATCAAGAAATAAACATCTGCCAAGAGAGACAATCTTGTTTCTAAAGAGACAATCTCAGATCCATCTTATGCTTCATTAACTGGACTCTGCTGGAACCCATAGAACCCAGGACTTTGCTTAGTAACTTCACTTTTATTCTCTGTAACATATTTTCTTTATATTTTTATGCCTTCTTTCCTTTGTTAATAATCTTTTAAAATTGTTAAGCTGATCCCTTTGCTCTAAATAAGAATTTAAAGAATCCTAGTGCTTGTGAAGAGTGCTACCATATTGTAAAACCTGTCATATTCCTGTCTGGAGGGACAGTGAGCATCTCAGACATTGCTTAAGGCTAGATTTGTCTCAACATTTGCTGAAAACAGTGCGTGTTTCCATTAAAACACGTGGAGGCAGCTATTGTTTGTGTGTAAATGATTAACTCAGTTGTTAATCAACCCCAGTAACAATCACTCTCAGTCTGCTGGTCTTAGATTGTTGTCCTGCAAGCTGGAAAATCTCAGTGTAGGGTAAGACTGAGTGGTATCTTTACAGATTGCATTGATGAAGAGACACAGTATCTGGTGAAATGAACAGTTACATTTTATAATATGGCATCATAGGGTATGTGGTAGGCTGAATGAAGAGCAGCTACTGAATTTTCTTCTCTTCCCCCTCTCCCCTGTAAAGTTGGCCATGCAAAAACACTTGATTTCCCCCCCTTCTACGCTAGTGGATGGGGGACCCCCCCAAAGTTATTTTATTATGACAGCTGCGGTAGTGCTGTAGGGGTCACGAGGGGGCCACACAACACTCGAATTTTGGCCTGCCAGCAGGACTCAACTACAACTTGACTATCCTGCCAGGCTCCAGGGCCGTACAGGCAGGTGTGGGGCTGTCCTCTGCTGTGCTGGCCCCGGGAAGTAGGAGGAGGCAAGGTATGGCCAGACTGCCACTGTCACAGACAAGCAAGGGACCTCAGGTGGCCGAACTTGTTTAAAAATTGAAAGGGCCGGTATTGGCCTTTAGAATCAGGGCATTTTCATGAGTACAGGTACTCATGAAAATGCCCTGTATCGGCCGGATACTAGTCTCGGTATGGGGACATCCCTACTCTTTACTCATAGGGCACTCAACTGTGCCAATATCTGAGTAACTACAGCAGTGTGACGACCCACCTTCGGGCCAGATCTCCTCGGTCAGGCTGGCTGCTGTGACGGCCGCTCCGCGTTCCACTGTGGAACACGGAAGCCGATCGTCTTCCTGGATGTGAGGCGAGCGGCTTGCGTTCCACGCTGGAACGCGGAAGTCGCTCATTGCGGCCGGCGGTTCCTCCCACATTCTTGGGCTATTTAAAGCCCCAGCTGAGGCAGCATGGCGTTCTACAATTGCAGTCAGAACGCCTGCTGCCTCCTGAACCAAGACAAGCCTGGAACCCTTCACTAAGTGCCGGACCACTCAGCACCCGGACTATCATCCTGTAGCTGCCCTGCAAACGTTCTCTAAACCGCAAGTATCGCTCCAGTTGGAGCCTGAATACGGACTGTCAGTTCCCTCATATGCCTGCTCCCATGCTGGACTATACATGTTGATGCATATTGTTGGGAATACTTAAATTGCTTATCAATACTAGGGTGCCTAGCTACAGCAAGTATATTCAGTCGCACCTTGACTTTGCTAAATACGTTTACTGGATGCTATGAGTTAATAGCCATATTTTGTTTTCATTTGTTCACTGGCTGTGATGTAAGAGTCTCAAACTCCCCCTTAAGACTGGGAGCGACGCCTGAGACTCACGCCTGAGAAGCCTAATTTTCCACACCTCCTGCATACCCCCTACGCAGTTGCGCTCCACATCGCACAACCATCGCAGGCGTGACAAGCAGGAGCAAGGATGATCTAACTCCAGAAGGAAAAGTATTGCCATCCTATGAAAATAAATGTCTATCCAGTAGTTCTGCTGGCAGGATCAACATATATCTACAAAATGTTCCAGGGGGTACTTTGGAAAACAGAGTCTGTTGCCTTTTTTTTTACCTCTATGCAATCAAATAGGACAGCTGAGTTGTAAATGGTAGAAAGTACATCACATTTATAATATTCTGTTCTAAAAATTCATGCAAGCTTCCAAGTATTTTTGTTTTAACACTTGTTTTGTTTCTATATTCAGCAGTGTACAACCCATTTATCACAGTCTTTCTTTTTCTTTGCTTGTATGGCATCATTGGTCTGTCTAGCTGAAGACCAACAATTACCCAAATGCTGTACCTGTATATGCATGTTGTTTTTAACTAAAATACACTTCATTTATGCATATTTTTATTATCGGCTTTCAACCTCTGTTTCCATTTGATTTATTTTCTTTACTTAGGCATCAAAGTCGTGAAGCAGAACCTAAAGACTATGATGTTGGTGAAGTTCCTTTGGGCAAGAAGAATTTGAGTTATTCTTCATATAGGAGATTTGGAAATGCAGACTCAGAAGTGAGTAGCTCTTGGACTTTGGAAATTAAATTAGAAATTCCTATAGCCACCCCCTCCCAGTTCACAGAGAACATTCAGAAAAGTGAAATCTTCTGCTCTCTAAAAAGGGAAACAAAAATGTGTTTGGATAAAGTGGGGTATTGTCAGAGCCCCTGCTAGGCTAGTATTCCTGTTTCCTTCCTTGTTAGTTTTCTTCATTGCTCCCTTTATAGTCCCCTAAACATACACAGCTGATATATCCCCCTGCATATCTTTACCTCCAGCAGCAGTCCCATTGCGCATTGTCTGCAGCCAGGCCAGTACAATTCTATTGGTTGACTTCCCACGCCAGCACACCAACAACCTGAATACTTGATGATAACTACCTGTACTGAAGGAGCACCATTATGTGGGCCCTCCATCTCGGTCCTTCTTATTGAACACAAGCAGCAGCCGGCAGTGTGTGCTGGGCAATGAAATTCAGAGCATTACAGCATCTGGCAATGTATCATAGGCACTGTCAGGCAGTGTGATCTTGCCTGATGGTGTCTGCATCATAATATATATAATGATATAATGTGGCCAGCAGAGGACATGGAACATATAAAAAAGGTAAGTAATACCTGAACACCAATGGTGGAGGGGCTTTCCACATCCAATTGACACCAGTGATGGCAAACTATTCCCACCATTGACATCAATGAGGATGCACTTTTCCTCTCACTGACACCAACAATGAGTCACTGTTCCTCCCACTGGAACCAACAACTGGACACTATCCCTCCCAATGACCCACCTAACACTCATATGGGACATTTTTACTTTTACTGAACACGATGCTGGGGCAAATTTGTAATCCCTCAGGGAATTTTTTTATTCCTACTGACAACTGGTGCAGGGGCATGTTTTTACACCTACTGACCACTAGTGCAGGGGCATTTTTTTACACTTACTGACTACGGAAACAGGGGCAGTTTTGCTCCCACTGGTGACTGATGCAGGGGGATTTTTGTACTCCCACTGATGCCGAGGCACTTTTTATTTAAAGGAGAACTATGAGATGACTGATTTCCACTCACCTCATAGTTCTAGCCGACCTGTGACAATGAGACTGTCACAGGTCGGCTCAGTGGATCGGGAGGTGAGCAAACACATACCAAACCTCTGGTGCAGGGGCATTTTTTTTAGTCCTGCTGACTACTAAAGCAGGGGCATGTTTTACTCTCACTGGCCACTGATACTGGAACAATTTTGTATTTCCCCCAGGGAATTTTTTTTATTCCCAGTAACCACTGGTGCAGGGTAATTTTTTTTTTACATCTACTGACGACAGAAACAGGCATTTTTGCTTCCACTGGCCTCCACTGGTGACTGAAGCAGGGGCATTTTTTTCTACATTTACTGATGACGAAAAAGGTGCTTTTTTGCTTCCATTGGCCTCCACTGGTGACTGAAGCAGGGGCATTTTTTTTTTTACATTTACTGATGATGACAGACAGGCATTTTTGCTTCCACTGGCCTCCACTGGTGACTGAAGCAGGGGCATTTTTTTTTACATCTATTGATGACGAAAAAGGGGCTTTTTTGCTTCCACTGGCCTCAACTGGTGACTGAAGCAGGGGCATTTTTTTTTACATCTACTGATGACGAAAAAGGGGCTTTTTTGCTTCCATTGGCCTCCACTGGTGACTGAAGCAGGGGCATTTTTTTTTACATCTACTGATGACGGAAACAGGGGCTTCTTTGCTTCCACTGGCCCCCACTGGTGACTTAAGCAGGGGCATTTTTTTTTTTTACTCCCACAGATGCCAGGGCATTTTTTGTTTAAACCTATCTCTGGTGCAGAGGGGCATAGTCCACCCCCCCAACTGTCGGATGGACAGTGAACTAATCCTTTGTTTACAACGTTCGACGACCCTGTATTAGCGTTACCAAGTACTGCTTGCTTGCCATGCATAACAACTTCTGCTCCAGGTTCCCAGTCTAGCTTAAAAAAAAATTAAAACCACAGTTCCTCCTAATAGTTGCGATAAAGTTTTAATTGAACGCCTGGCACTGGAAAACAAACAGTCAGGGGATGCAGCCAGCCTGAAAAGGGCTTCTGGGTTACAACCAAGCATTGTTGCGGTACACAAGCTCACCCCGCGTACCAAATCTCTATATTACAAATAACCTGATGTTTTGGGAACACCATCTCCACAGTCTTGCAAATATGAAAGCCCAGTAAGGACATCCATTGTAATTCAAGCCAGATCATACTGCAAAATGATCAAGTGTGCAGATCCTTGCTGAATTCCAGTGATCAATTAGAATTAGCTCAGCCTGGCTTTATAAGCTCCTATTCACTTAGTACACGGCCAATAGCAATATGATTATGTATTATTGTACTTTATATTAATAAATGTAAATATTGTCATCATCAAAATAGATGACAAAAATAAGGAATTTCGCTCATTTATGGCATTGCTGCAAATGTATCTAAAGACATATTTGTTCCTAACCTTGTCTGGGTTTTTTTCCCGAATTGTCTCTTGTTAACACTAGGGGGAGTACTAACACTTGATGCTAAAGAGGGTTATGATTACTCAGCTCCACATTTATTTTTAGTAGAGTTGGAACAAAGAATCGTCCTGTAAAATATCTTTTAAATGTGCTAAGAAATATTTCGAACTGGCTGATTTTACAGTTCACCACAAATGATTGAAAACATTCAGATGTAGCATATAATTACTACAAGAGATAAAAATGTGCTTTAAATAAAGCTGTTTTTGCTGTTTTACTTTATATAAATGGATCTAAAATATCTAGGAAGCTTTTATATAAACCCTAACAATCGAGTTCTCTTACTTGCTCACTTTTGGTCGGCCAAACATGCCATTCAAAGTTTTTGTGTTATATCTGTTTGATAAGTGCAAAAAAATACCTGTTGATTCTGCCAGTAATCCATTGCTGTCCTGTGTCCTATGTTCTCTGCAGTTTTATCTCAAGCAGTCTTATATTACTGCCCAGGTTACCTCTGTGAACTACAGACTCCCCTTATGTTATGCAGATGCAAAGGAAGGAGGGTTTTTTGTAGTCCTAACACACTTCTTGCCACAGGTGACAATGCTGCTGCTCCATTGATAGTGAGTGAGCATTGTCACCCTAGGACCAGTGTTAATTTTGTTAAATCTAATGCGTTTATTTAAAGTGTAATGCATTATTTAAAGGAGAACTATGAGGTGAGTGATTCCCACTCATCCTCATAGTTAGAGCTGACCTGTGACAAAGAAGCTGTCACAGGTCGGCTCTATCGATCGGGAAGTGAGCAGAAACATGCAGCCGATCCGCTCACTTCCCGATCATCTCCTTACAGTGAGCGGTGACTGTCAGTCACCCCTCCACTGCAGGGATTCCCCCCTCCCCTCTCCGATCCTCCAGCGCTGAGTGGTGGAACGATTGGGGGTGGTGGCGGGCACAGCTAGCTCTGCCTCTAGATAGGCAGAGCCAACTGTCACTCATTCAGCTGGGTGGATCTCGACAGTATTGTCGGGATCCTTCCCGGGTGCAGCACTCTCAGTATATCGCGGGCAATATCCCGCGATCTATGAGTTTTGGGTCACTAGAGGAGGTTAGTATATGTCCTTCCGTGACCCTAAACAGAACTATGGGGAAAACCACTTACCCCATAGTTCTCTTTTAAGCAAGCCTCTAGAATGTCCAAACTCATTATATAGTCCTGGAGTAAACCTCTATTAACCTGTTATGACTTACAATTGTCGCTCCACATGGTTTACAAAGGATCTTGTTCTCAGTAGCATCAAATGTAAAATGCATCCATACATTTGCTCTTCTCTTTTTCCCTGATGTTGACATGTCTGTAGAGTTTACGCTGCAGGTGTTTGCTAGCTGGTGTCCCGCTGTGTAGATCAGTACGTTATTATTCAGTTGTTCACGTCCCCCTACTACTGGAAGAGGAAGAGCTCAGGGAACCGGAAGAGTAAATGTAATAGTCCCTCCCATTTTCGTTTTGTTTTCCTTTGCCAGCGAAAATTTGCAGCGTTAACTTCTTTATTACTTCGTTTTCGTTTCATTTTCGTCAGTAAAAAAACATGCAGATGACGAAAACAAAAACCCGAAAATTATTCATCAACTAAATTAACACTGCCTAGGACAGAAAGTAAGGAAAGGCAGGATCACCATGTATAACTATCCTAAAAAAAAGAAATCTAATGCAGCACCCACATCTAAAGACTGGTAAGATGCAATACATTACACTTTTGTTCTTGGGTTTAGATTTTTTTTTTTCTTGAGGCCAGGTTCACACTCTGTGACTGCGTGGCAATCGTGCATGAAACCGTGTGGATTGCTGTGTGGTCACGGATGTACTTGGATGAATGTAAATTTTTTTAGCAAATGCCATACGGATGTAACCCCATTGAAATCAATGGGGCCGCGCGGCAATCGCTGTGTGCACCGGCACACAATTGCCCAGTCCCGGGACACGTGTCCCAGGTCTGCACCAGTCCTAAGCTTGGTATACATGGTTATGGGTTTTTTCGTTCAACCCGCAGGTTGAACGAAAAAAATGAAACGGGTACCTCCATCAATGCCAACAAGTGTTGATGGACGATCCCCCGCTTGTCAGATTACGTGAATGGCTGATTGTCTGCTAGCTTCAATCGGCTGAGAATTTTTGGACCTGCTCCTTCAGTCAGCTGATTGAGGGGTGCCGAGTGGAATGGTGCTGGCAGCAGCACCCAGGCAGCGAAATTCGAAGCATGTATAGCCTACTTTAGTTACAAGGGAGCTGTAAAAAAGGATTGCAGTACATTATGATTAAGGGTAATTATTTGTACATATAACAGTAAATGTATACAGAATATAGTTGTTATGTAAAACAGAGGTTTGTTAGCTCAGTTATGCAACAATACGGTGTCTTGTGGCCCTAAGGTCAGAGGATCAGTATGAGGTTTGGATACGCTTTTCCACTTTGAGCAGGAGAATACAAAAAAAGTCTCTCCACTTATAGGCTGATGCTGAAGCTGATCAGCTTTGGTATAATGGGGATGATACCGCTAGTCAGTTGTGTTGCAGCTGTGAAAAAAAGCTTCTACAGTGCTGCTGGAATTGCTTGGCTTTTCTTGGTATGCCTCAGCTAAGAAATTACAGGCAGCAAAGAGAAGGGATTGGCCTGGGTGACAGGTTGATCATAATCCTACCTGCACTTTTCTTTTGACTCTCTTCAACTTTAACTGCACATTTATGTACAAGTCAGGAGTGTTTTATTTAAATCATTAACATGCCAACAGTAGAATATACAAGTTGATAAACAGGCCTCAAGATATTGTTGTATTCATAAAGGTATTAAATTATAACAATGCTTGAATATAAAACTGTTATTTTAAGTGAATTCTTGCTGGATAGAGGATCACCATGTTTGCAGACTAATTGAGCTGTTGATTTTGTTTCTTTTTAAATAGAAGCAATAAAAACAAAATTAATACGTGAAGCCTTGTTGATTCTGATCACACTTATTTCCCTGATCGCACTTATTTCCCAGAATGAGTTACCTAGGCAAAAATACCTATACTAGGTTCATAGGAAACCTGGGATGAAATTAATTTGCCATGGGTGACCTGCCAATAATGCTAGTTGCCTGGTGGTCTCTGGCATGAAAACCTTCTGAGACAAAAAATATAAAAAATATTTTTCTAGATAGATAGATAGATAGATAGATACCCTGATCTTTGTCATGGCCTAATATACAACTCTGGTGAGAAATGGAAGACCACCTAGTCTCCACCTTGCCCACATGTAGTATAAATGAACCCCTAACTGCCAGTGTCCGTGTGTAGCTGCACAAATGGTATGTCCTCCCCTTGGTTTGACCTTATGCCAAGTTTTTATACTTCAAAAGTAATGATAGGTTTTCGGCGCTTGTGACAGCTGGATAAACAAATTTCTCCTAGGTTATATAATCCACAAACCACCCACGCACACTGTGCAGCTCCTCCAAAGGATTAGAGAACCTTAACTTGAATCTAAAATAAAGCACATAGTGCCTCGACATGTGCAGAATTGTTTTTAGTAGAAAAATCAAACAATAAAAACATACTCGCAAACGATGAAAGTAAACAAGCATAATTCTCCCATAATCTGGAGGGGAAGTGATCCGTATGATATAGAGCATGGAAGGTGCTGATCCGCCAGCTGGCTTGCCGCCTCCGGTACCTTTGGTGCTAATGGGAAACGCATTTCTGGGGCACGCCCCTTCATCTGATGAAGGAGACATGCCCCAGAAATGAGTTAGCTGTTAGCATCGAAGGTACCGTGAGGCAGCAAGCCAGCTGGCGGATCGGCGTCCGCAAGGTGGCAAGCCAGCTGGCTGATCGGCGTCTTCCGTGCTCTATGTCATACAGATAGACAGAGCTTTGATGAAGGGGCGAGCCATTAGCACTCTTAGTTGGTATGAGCATGTTCGGCTGTACCGAAGCTAGCCAAAGGCAGCCAATATACAGCTGATTTTAGCCCATGTACGGCTGATTTTAGCCCATGTACATAGCATTTGCGTTTTCCGTGCAGAAGACCATGCGGGACGAAAACGCTAATGTTTTTTAATCCGCACGGATGGTGCTCGTTTGCAGCTATTAACCCCTTCATGACTGAGGCCTTTTTTTCATTTTTTGTACCCATGTTATATTCCAAATTTTAGGCCTGAAAATTACTTAAAACCCCCCAACATTACATATTTTCTGAATGCCAAGACCCTAGCCAGATTATCGCGATTGCACTATTTCGGGGGGCCGCGTGGCTTCGTGCCGCACGGTCCCCACAATGGTGTGAACGGTGCACATTGAAGTGCATTGTTTTTTGTGTTTAAAGCGGCTCCGCGCGTATGCGTACAGCCGAATACGCGCGGAGAGCCGCTCAGGTGTGAATGGAGCCTAAAGTTGGAGCAGGAAGATCCTTGCACTCTAGGTCCTCAGGTACAATTTCCTCTTTAGCAAGGAGAACAATGATCAGCACATTAGTGACATCACCAAATCTTACTCGAGATCTTGTGAGAATAGCACTCAATGGCAGCAGTTCCTTAGATGATCTCACACTGCAGATATACAGCATTTAAGCTCAAGGCACCGGAATGCCTGGGCACAGATAGTGCATTGCAACTTTTCAGGAGGAATCTCAGACAAAGGGTAAGTCAGGGTTTAAGCGCAGGTACAATTTCTAGATGTTCCCAATAAGATAGTAAATCTTTACTTCTTAAATTCAAGTCCCATTCAATACCCAGCCCTAGAAAAAAAGAGTAGTAGTTGATTTGCTGTTTGTTTTTAGAATTAGCAATGGTTTATATGGTTCAGTAATTAATAGCAGCTAATAAATATATAAGATAACTATTCAAATCAGTGAATGCTATTATGGATTACTGCAATTACTCTGTACCTTACTGAATAAACCTGATATGCTTTTAAAAAACATGCTGTAATGTTAAAGTGACACTAAACTCAGGAGTTAAATCTTCAAATTGCATTAAAGTACCCTAACTATTAGCAAAAATGTATCTTGTTTATGTATCACTCAGCTGTAGATCCTCAAATCATCTCTGAATTGGTGCTGACACTGTCCTTCCTTCTGGAGGGTGGCTACTTTTGTTCCCATGGTCCCTGTGCGTGTTGTAAAGTAGTCACCGCTCCAAGCTCAGTCCTGAGATGGACTACAATCTCACATTTAGTTTACAAATCTGTATTCAGATTGTAGTCCATCACAGGAGTGAGCTTGCATTTTTAAGATTTATCTCCTGAGTTTAGTGTCACTTTAATACCTGAATTACTGAAGCCTTGAATAAAACAGAAGTACTACTGTGTTTGGCCTTATTTCAGTGATATGTGCAGGTAAACAACTAAAGTAAAAAGGCATATTTTCTTTTCTTTGTACAAGACATGGATAGAGACTTCTGAGCCTGTTGTGTAGAACAGTAATTTTCATATACTAAGGATCTCCTGGAATTTCCATCTCCATTTATTTCTTTGTGTCGCTCTTATTCCGCAGTACAAACATACTTGGCTGTTTGCACATAATGTTAAGAGAAGTCATGCAGTTGATGTTGCTGTTTTTTTTAAATATAATTGTTTATTTATAACAAAACAAAAACACATTAAAGCAAGACTTGCATACATACGAATATAGGATTTGGTCGGTAGACAGTCAATGAAGTGCTGTTGACAATAGGTGAATTTTGCAATTCCATCTCAACATACAACCTTATGAATCCTTACATACATGCATTTCTTTTATACCTAACTTGGCTTTAGTTTCCTCTGGAGGGTTTTGTTTTTTTTATAATTCAGGCATGTGGATAAGAATCTGAGTGCACTAAAAGGGCACTGCTTTTATCAACCTGTAAATCAGCCCCAAGATAGATGACAGTTGCCTACCCTTGCCAATCTCATGTCTATATTGGTAGGGAAAAACCCACCACCAGCTGATGCTTTCGAGGCAGGGAAAAGGTTAGAATGTCTAGTCAAATTGCAAGATATCCCATGTATGTCACAACAATGCACCCCACCATTTGTGCTAAGGAGCCAAAGAAGAATTGGGAAGGAGTTTCTAAGGTCCAGAAACAAGGTGCTGTAAAATGTATGTACATTTGGTGCATACATTAACCCTTGTTAATTTATCTTCCTGTTTCCCTTTAGTGTATATGGCACCTTAGAACCTACCTTCATATGACATTGCTATTACACATGGTCATCGTAGATTACCCTGATGCATTAACAAACCAGTATATCAATTTGGTTAGTAGCCAAAAGTAACATCTCACTGCCCATTCCCACGTGCCATAAAAAGTCTTGGAAACATATTTTCTAAATTCTTCTCATGAAGTATTTTGTGTTGCAAAAGATTGGTTGTAGTATAAAGATCATTTCTGATTTTTATTTTCTTACTTAGCAAGTTATGTGTCAGTATAATATTGTTAAACTATAATGGTCTTTACAAATTCACAGACTGAAGCAGATCATCAATTAAATTGCATGAATGTAGATCATGCCATGTGATATTCATAGCAGTTATATAGCTCAAGTTTATTTCATATGTATGTTTATTCAGGACTGGAACACTACAACACAGCAACATTTATCCCAGGTTAAATTAAAAGATGTATATAAAGTCAGAGAGGTCCCTAAGAAAATTATCAATGAGGACAACATTGGAATTTTAGATATCAAAAGGTAACTTTTTATTTGTAATTTTATGAACTGTTGCTTAAGGCCTTATTCACACGAGAAAAGGCCGGCACGTACAGCTCCGTGCTGCGTACACGGCCGTATCGGGCAGCTCCCGGGAAGGACAGGTGCTGTGTGTGATTAGTACGCAGCCCCTGTTCTTCTCTATGGGAGTACACCGCCGTACTCCACCTTACCTTCACCCCAAGTTCAGGTCCGTACAGGTGCGGTGTCCCGGCTTGGACGCAGACAGGATCCTTCCTGTCAGCATATGAGTACGGACACCCACACCTGTATGGACGTGCAGGGTGGGTGAGTGTAGGGCGGCGTTTGGCCGTGCACTCCCATAGAGAAGGACAGGGGCTGTGTACTAATCACACGCAGCACCTGTCTTTCCCAGGAGCTGCCCGATACGGCCATGCACGGAGCTGTATGTGTCGGCCTTTCTAGTGTGAATGAGGCCGTATGCTTAACCAGTTAAGTATGATCCTGAAATCTCCCTTTATTACCAAGCCCCTTTTTTAGTTTTGAGTGTTGTGATAGTTTGACTGACAATTACTTGGTCATGTAACCAAAGTTGGTCACTGTGTCCAAATTCATTTCATATCATTTTTGAAACAGATAGAGCTTTCTTTTGATGTTATTTAATAATCACAAAGTTTTTGTAATTTTTGGCTATATTAAAGGAGAACTATGGTGTCAGGGCTTTTCCCCATAGTCCTCCTTAGGGTAACGGGAGGACACAAACTAGCGTCCTCCCGTTACCCTAAGCTCACTATACCGCGATCTAGAGCTTGCGGTATACTGAGACGCCGCAGCCGGAGCGGATCCCGACATTGATGTCGAGACCCCCCCAGCTGCGTGAGTGACAGCTGGCTCTGCCTATCTAGAGGCAGAGCCAGCTGTACCCGACACCTCCCCCCTCCGTTCAGAGCGGGGAGGGGGGAATCCAGCCCCTCCCCTGTCACGGCAGAGAGCCGTGACAGGATCGAGAGGTGAGCGAACGCCGGTATCTGTTCGCTCACCTCCCGATCTACTGCGCCGACCTGTGACAGTCTCATTGTCACAGGTCGGCTAGAACTATGAGGTGAGTGGAAATCACTATCTATCTATCTAAATAAATGTCACTGTAGTTTTTCCCAATAGCTTTAGCCACATGATTATGCACAATGTTGGGCTGACCTGTGTTTTAGCTTGCTATAGTATAGTTTTCGCTTTAATTCCTACAGGAAATAAACAAATACTAATCTGCCCTAAGGTGCTTATAGCAGCTCCAAAAACTAACACACATAATTAATCATTTTTTAGGCAAACTGGATGTCCAGAAAAAGGATTCGGAGCTGTTTTGCCACACCATAGTAAAGATCATATGAAAATGTAAGTTTACAGAATGTGTCAACATTGTTGAAATTTTAAAATGTATTTTCTTTCTCATCCATTGAGGTGCTCAGGAGGTCTTTCACCTTCAGGTTATACTGCTGCCTACAGGAGGATGGACATCTTTTCTTCAGCTCTGCTGTATTTAAAGACTAACCTGTTTTTTGCTATCACATTTTTATTCTTAAATCTTTTTTGTTTCTTCAATCAAGATAATTCTCAAGCTCCCTGCTAAAGGTTGTTTTTTTTTTTAATGCAGCTGTGTAGCACAGTGCAGGGTTAGCCTGGAACTGACATTTGGACACTGTCTCGTGGATTGCTTGTCCCAACTTCATTCAAAAAGTTGGCTGTGGTGTGCTTTCCAGGTACAGAGCCACTAGAATTGTCTCAATCCTCACCCTGTCACTGGGTGCTACCTCATTTACATAGGGTGCTGGAAGTCATTATTTCCTGTTTCTGATGGTTTTTATCATGGGATGATTTATGTGACTGAGTGTTAACATCATCTGCTGGGTGGAGTGTCCCACAAATGCGTTTTGCTCTCTCTTTCTTGCCATACAGTACCAACAAAGCATCTTCCCATCTTCATACAGTACCAACTGCTGCTCTTGCTTGCAAACGGCAACGTGATACTTCGATCATTCATCTCGCCTTCTGCATGCCTACAGTGACTTTGGTCACCTCCTTCCATCCTCAGACCTCTTCTCTTACCCTGAGCCTATACGTTGCCTTACCATGGCAACATTTCTTATTCTAGACATGCAGGGGACATTCTTGCTGTCTCAGGTATCCCCAGCTAACACTTCCAAATCTGCTTGCTGCATTGCTACTGATGTTACCAATGTCTGCAGCCAAGAGTCATGTTGTGCTCTAATCCTAGAGTCTATCCCATCCTTGGAGTCCTCTTTAGTGTCTTCTGCCCTTTTGACTGAGGTTTATACTACAGTCAAGCAGAGTGTGCCCTCTCCTGCAGATTCTATATGTGATTTGCCTGTGGCCTTAGTGGCTTCCAAACCTTCAACCACAGAGACCCTGTGTGATTTGTGAGTCACTCTAGTCCTTGACTGATCTGAGGGGTCTCAGTCTACTCCTATCACTCCTAAATTAGAGGAGACCATTTTGGCTCTTTTATATGCAGTGCACATCACTCAGAAACTGGAGGATCAGCTTGTTTCTTCTACCAGTGCTGTTTCCAGTTTTGGGTTGTTTAAAACTCATAAGGCCACAGAGGCTTTGCCTTTGCATCTGTTTTTCCAACTCTTTTTCTGTGGAGTTTGAAAACATCCTGATAAGTTGTTTGCTTTTTTATACTTATTTCTGTTTAATGGGTATTTTCTGCAGAAGTGGTCTATTTCCACTGTGGATCCAGCAGTGTCCCGTCTTAACAAGGCACTTAACATTCCAGTAGACCATATGCATGTGTTTAAGTACCCAAATGATATACTGTGGAAGCCAGATTACTTTACTTTACTTTAAGCCATGTCTAACTGATCAAAATCCCTCAGAAAAGATCTAACCACTGCTGTGGTTGATCACTTGCTTATTGAGAACATGGAGCAGATGACTGTAGCTTTAAATTTTAGTTGTGATCATCTGCTGGAAGCTTACTATCTCATCTCTAGAATTGATCTCATGACCGACCCTCGAGGATATTATCAAGGATGCTGCAAGCGCCAAAAGCACCCAACTTTCTCAATTGGAAGAAGCCTAAGGAACAGACTACAAAGTCTTTTCTCTCTCTGACTGTTAATACATGTTTCTTTTGTTTTTCCACTCTCCGTCTACCTCCTCGTTGAGACCCATAAATCCTGGTTCCCAGTCCATCCACGAAATCTGGCACTCAAAATCTGCCAAAACCTTAAACAATCCTTCTTCAAGCATGAAGGTGCGCTCCCACTTTCCAGAGATCTTGACCTAAGAGGGGCATCCACAACATCTTGGATCTTAAATCTCTGAATGTCTTAATTTGAGCCCAGGAATACACCAGATCTTTCATTGCTTCCCTTCAGTAGAGAGACTTTCTGGCTTCTGTGGACATCAAGGACACATATCTGAATATTCCTATCTTTCAAGCTCCTCAATGTTTCCTACATTTTGTTGTTGTGCACCTATAATACAAGTTTGTGGTTCTGTATCTTTAAAGATACAATATTGTCATAAGTAAGGATGAGCAAACCAAGCAAAGTGATGACCATATTTGGTCAATTACGTCACTGGGGATCCCTGGCCTATTTTTTGACATTCAGCAGCTGGCAGGGCACTGTCATTTGTAAAGGGAGTAATGACAGGAGAAGCAGCTGGAATATCTGTGGGTCATTAGGTGTCACTTATTGTGATTGATCTTGGATGTACATCGCCAGACAACATGATTGATCTTGCATTTACATCAGGGGACATTGTTTATTTATAATTTTTTTTTAAAAAGGACATTTTCTAAGGTGTGTGTTTTTATTTACGATTTAACATTTTTTGTGAATGAGTAACAAGGGATACTATGTACCCCTTTACTTAGTCACATGGTGGGGAGGGCTGGATATCTGGGGGCCCCCTTATTTTGAAGAAGGCTTCCAGATTCCCCTGAAGACCCCCAGATCCACCGGGCCAGGGATCTGAGGTTGAGACCCTTGTCCACGTCAACATTACAGAGATAACTGCTGAAATTTCAATACTGCATTTTCTCATGGCCTACAGTACAATTTTTTAATGCATAACAGTTAGACAAATATCATCATGGATCACTGAGGTTAATGATGAAAATGTTAGACTTGCCTTTGCCATAAAAAATGAGTACACTGATCATTTACTGTGAAAATATAATTAGCAGTTAAAGTAACATTCATTCCAGACCAAAAAAAATTGCCAATTCCCAATGATCTTACAAGTCATGCAGACATTTTCATGTATCAATAACAATAACATTAAGCAATAAAATTAAATGGGTACGGTAGTGTCAGAGTAATATAGTGTAACATTAACTACTGCTTGTATTTTTGTGCTTTTTAGCTGTTGTTAAAGTCAAAAATTGTAACAAGAGGCTTGCTTGTCTTTTGTTTCCTCCATTATAAAATACATCCTCAAATGGGTCAGGTTCTTACGACTGCTTTGCCCTCACTAATAAAATTACACTCATTTCTTCTGCCTGTGAAATCCTGCCTTGTAGCTACAGTAAATGACTACTGTTATTACTAACTTATTTTTTTGTATACTGTATGGGTATATTATACAAACTAGATGTGAAAAACTAATTTATGTTCATCAGGGATGGGGATTGCATTTTCTCTGAATTAAACTGAAAGCTGGTCTTGAGTCAGGAGCATACATATCTGATGACAGCTCTCTTTGTTGTCACCTACAGTATCACCTGAGTTATATGAATATGAATATTACATTTACTGGCCTGTAAAGTAGTGAGAGCTGTGGATTACATCCTCTTCCTCTGATTATGGAGCAGTGCTATAATTTCCAGCAGGGCTCCAGGAATTGATAATCTTTAATGCAGTAATCACTGCTTAATGTTCTCCTGCTCCTAATGTTCTCAGTGCACTGTGTGTAAATACTATAATAAGTGTGACTTACATGATCCACTGAAACCTAAACTAACAATTAGATTTTATTTAAAGCATATTAGTGATTTTATATCTATTACGTAAATGTTGTTATCCAGGTAATTAAAAGGCTATCTCTTTCAACCCATGACTATAATTGCGCAGAATTTATAGGGTCACCATTTTTTTGCTGAACAGTAGAGAATTTAAATTCTTTGTGCAGTCTGAAAACAAGTTGGTTTCTGATATTTTTGCATTTTTCAAAAGGAGTAGATTGTTATACCATGTTAGCCATCATCAGAAGAAGGTAAACAGGGATCGATTGTTTGTGCAAACTGAAACATGAAACATTGCAAGCTTTTAGGACTTAGATTGCCTCATCAAGACACAGATTGTAAATTACTACAATTCAGTTGTAATATGACTAAAACCAGTTGTGTGAAGACTGAGAAATGACGTGAACTTTTATCTTTATAAATATAAACATGTACTTAATTATCACATGTTGGTTGTGATTATTTTGCTCTTTGCTCTACTTTACAGGCATCTGGACACAACATATGATACAGACTATGTGGCCCCTCATCCTTATACAACAACTTTAGTATGTATCTTGGTTGGTTTACATCTCTCTTTATTTTAGTTTGAAATATTACTGAACTTAAAGTGTTGTTTAGTTTTTCTTTATGTAAGCAACTGCAGGACCTACGTGACAAAAGAGTCAAATCTTGCAAAAGTTCTATTTAATTTGTATGTATAACCTGATGGGTTGAGTTACTAGCTGAATTGTTTTTTCTCTTACAGGGTTATTCAGAAAAGAGTGAAGAGTTTGAAGAAGGCAGGAGAAGTGAACAATCTAGGCCAAAATAGCTGATTTGGAAAAATTCTCCAATACACCTCACTTTCCAGTTCAGCTATGTTGTCCTAGATTGTTCACTTCTCCTGCCTTCTCCAAACTCTTCACCCTTTTGTGAAGAACCCTGTTGGTTTCTTCCATGGTGAGATCCTTCTACAATTTTGCCTCTGTTGCTGTTTATCTTGGATATTGCAGCCCAAATGTAAATGTCCCCGCACCTCCTTTTGTAAACTTCAAGATACAAAATAATGTAAACTCCAGCAGGCAAAGTGGGAATGCTTTGCAATAATTAGGACATGATAGGTGTGCAGACCATGGCACAGAGCTCCTAACACTGGAATCCTATAAAAATATGATAGAGACTGTTAACTTGGCAAATTGAATGGTCACTGATTGTCTGTAAATAACATGAAGCCATGCTCACTTTGCATACATTTTTGATGCTTAAAGCTAAACTACAGCCAAAAAAAAAATAGTCTCCCCCCC